TATAGTAGTAGACCATGAAGGTTTCAGTGGGTTCTGTATTTTAAAATGAAATTGTGAAATAAACCAAGGTTTATTATCACTCAAGATAATATCTATGTTATTTTAACTACTTCAGGGAAAAGAAAATTAAAGAAAGAATAGAAGGGTACTGGTTGAAGCAGGTAACTTAGTGTGCTGTGAGTTTGCCTGTCTTTTCATCCTAAAGATTTTAGGATAAAAAAGGTAACAATATAATGCCTGATATCATCTCTCCAAAATAAACTGAGCAGAAAAACAAAAGCACCTTGAGGGGAAGGCCGTGGTAACAAGGCATAGAGCCTCAGGACTGGGGTAGTTTTTTGAAACTGCTAACTTTGTCAGAAAGGTTACAAAACTGATGTTTTTGTAAGGTTATCTTCTCACTTTGCTAAACAATGGAAGCACTATTTCATAAGGGTCAACATTGAAACCATTCATATTGTTTAAAATGAGATAAAGTTATTATGAATAGAATGGCTATCATAATTTACTAAGTTACTAAACTGTGTTAAACCTATAGCGATAATTTTTAAGACAGATTTTTAAATTCAGCAAACTACTATAAACTACTACTACTATATATACTATACTAAAGTATAATCTACTATATTGAGGTCTGGTTGCTAACACCAAGTAACAAGTTTCAAGTCCTATACAGAAAGATTGAGGAGCTAAACCTAGTCTTTCCCCACATAACTGAAAGGAGGGACGATTGAACAATGGGAATTTTCGAAATGAGTGATCTGACGTAGAATTTATAACTGCTAGGTAAAATACTTTTTAAGTTTTACCTATTTATGTATAATCTGGGGTCATCATCCAGTAAGTCACTCAGAAGGTCTCTAGTCACTTAGTCCTAGCACAGACCCAGGTGATCTGTGGAGAGTTTTTGTATAGCAAGAAGAAACACTAGGACATTTCAGAAAAGGGAATCTCAAACTCCCACAGGAGAAACCGTGGGGTTCAGAGGTCACATGCCAATTTTATTCTGTCTAGTAGCTTAGAATTAACTTAGCCCATGGTAGGTTTTGACTTTGCATGCATTCCTCCCAATCTTTCCTGTTCCCAATGAATCCCATGCTCATTGACTTTTATTATAGTGTATAGGTGTTTGTTTTTGTTTTTTGTTTTTTTTTTTCAAGACAGGGATTCTCATTGTAGTCTTGACTACCCAGAACTCTCTCTGGTAGAAAAGGTTGGCCTTGAACTCATAGAGATCTGCCCCTCCCAAATGCTGGGATTATAAGTGTGTGCCACCACTGCAAGACTGTCATTTATTATAGTAAAGACAGATGTGGAAAGCACTATCTTAGGGCTCTCTGGGTTGGGTGAACAGAGAAGAATTTGCAGCAAACTTCAGCTGCTTTTGCATGCTGTCCAACAACATCCTATTTGAGAAAGAAAAGAGATCAAACGCTCTTCTTTCCAAAGAGTTGAAAGTCCACCATAGGCCAGAGCTCATGACTAGCTAGCTTCCTGCTTTGCTTGCCTAGACAATCATAGTGTCTTCTCCATTAGAATGTTTTTAAGAGTAGACAGAACCTGTGTAGTGGATGAAAGGGATGTGTCCTATAAATAGTCTTTGGAGATTCATCCAAACATACAAACCAAAGCTCCAACTTCCGGGGAGAAAAGAAAATTCCAGAAAACAGATAGACAGAAATAGACAGACAGCCAGACAGACAGACAGACAGACAGGAAAATCAGCAATGATATTAGAGCTGCAGCCTTTGCTGATTTGGGTTTTGGAAGACCTTTTATTATCACGCATTTACTTATTTATTTAGTGTGTATGTGTCTGTGTGTCTATGGGAGCTCAGAACATATACATAATGTCTCTGTGCAGGCTGAGTCCTGAAGACAGTGATGGCTCCTAACCATTGATGAATATCTTCAGGATTCTGAGGGACCTTTTTAACAAAGACTTTCAACTGACCCCAGCTCCAATTCTACCATCAACACAATGCCAGGGTGAGTGAGACTGTAACACCCAATTTTGTGTTACCCACTTGGTACAGTGTGTGTGCCACTGTACCCTATGTGAGCTGGGCAAGGACCTGGAGATTGAAAGAACACACAAGAGACCTGGGTCATTCGCTGGGAGATCAGCTGAATGCCATTTATTCAACCTTGAGGAAATCCTTACACACCTAGCTGCTAGACAAGGAATTCCCCCCAGGCGGGTGGAAAATTGCCACACCCAAGATGGAGTAAACAATGCGCTACAGCGAGCTACCAGGCAGGGCAGAGGGAGCACAAAAACAAACAGAATGTTTTAGCTGGCTGACCAGAAACTGTCCTCAAGTAACCCCAGGAGCAGGGGTAGACCCGGGCCCTACATGACTACATGAGATTTCTCTCTCTCTCTCTCTCTCTCTCTCTCTCTCTCTCTCTCTCTCTCTCTCACACACACACACACACACACACACACACACACACACCTCTGTCTCTTTCTCCTTCTCGGTGTCTGTGTGTGTCAGAAGTCATATGGGGTTAAGAAGAATGTCAGCCTAGAAGGAAAGGATTATGAAATCATCAGAATTTGAGGGTTTGATATGGTGATGCAATGTCTTCAATCCCAGCACTTGGGAGGCTGTGAGTTGTGAGTTCAAGAGCATCCTGGTCTACATAAGCAAGATCTAAGCCAGCCCGGGTTGTATCGTGAGACTTGGTCTCAAAACCAACCAACCAAACAAACAAACAAACAACCCCAAAACTTAAACAAATACAAAAATCCTCAAAATCTGAAGTAGATCACACAGTTGTTGGTTTTCCAGAACAAGAACAAAACCTTGTTTGGGAATTCAGTGTTGATTTTCCCAGCAGTTAATCCCTCCTTTTCAGCATGACTGATTCTCACCAAAACCAAAATGAACAGAACAAGGAGAAAACCATGATAATAGTCCGGCATTCTCCTCCCTCTTTCCTGTATGTGTTTGATAGACACAGGATTCTGCCAGGCAGAAGAGGATGCACTCTCACCAGTTTCTCTGGATGCAGCTCACAACAGGAAAAGGGAAAATAATGGCTTGTGAAGCAAATCGGAGGAACCAAAGATCTAGGCTTCTTTCTATTTCCCATAGGAATGGGCTTCCTCTGCGTCTACTGTGTGGAAGGCTTGTTGCAGAGCATTGACCTCTAATTCCAACAATACCCATCTTCGTAAGACCATCTGTGTCTGCTTGCAAAGGATCCTCACAATTGGATTTGTTGACTGCTGACATTCTGTCATAGGAAGGAGCAGGGAGGTCACTGGACCCTCACCTGTGTGTGCAGCTACTCCTTCCAGTCAGAATGATGCCAGTCTATCCTAATTGCATGTGACCTCATAGTTTCCTGGAGAAACTGAAGTACATCAGCTGGGGGAAAACAAGGAGAAGGGGACTTCATCTGTTGTTATGGTTATGCCTTCATCCTTGCAGGGTAGACACTTTTCAGTGAAGCTGTTTTGGGGTTACTTGTGCACCTGACAAGAGCTCCTTACCCATGCTCTGTAAGTAAGCTCAATAAAGTTATTCGTTTCCGAGGGGGAACTATGCTGTGTCAGAAGTTTGTGTTGTCATTGGGACCTTAAAGGAAAGAGATAGAGTACCTCGGCTCCTGCTGCCAGGGAGAAAATTCTTACAAGGGTTTTCTGTGGCTTGAAATCCATCATGAGTGCTGTTTGGGCCTGAGCTGCTTAACAAGAAACTCTTAGATTAGACATTACCTTGGGTGTTTGCCTATAGGTATTTAAATGAGCCGAGTAAAGAGCAGGCTGGAAGTGGGACCCCCAGCAAGGATTGGAGACAGTTTAGGCTCTTGAGGGAGATCCAAGGGTCTGAGAGATGACATCATCATGGCTTCCGGGTTACTGAGGAAAATGGGTTGAGAAAGCAACACCAAGGGACTAGGGGAAAGACAGCACTGAATATGTGACTTTCTGCTAGGTCAGAGTTAGTGTGTGCCACAAGGAACAAAAAGGACACTGGGGTATGCACCACCTGCTGCCAATTGTGCTACCTCTGTGATCTGCCAGCTGTTTAAGACGCTGTAAACAGACAATGGCTGTCTTTGGACAGATGATTGGATTCCCAAAGAATAGAAAAGATAGTTGATTTTGCTCAGAAACATTAGGTAGTGTCAAGTTTTCTAAATAATGTTTTTCAGATTTTACAAATGACAAGCTGATATTTTATCTTGAAGACAGTCGATGCAAGTTTAGCAAATAATTAAACAATAGGGATTTTAAAAATTCAATATTTATATGTCAATTGCTATAGCATCTCTTCCAGGGGTTCAGAGTTTGATTCCCGATACCTGTACAGCAGCTCTCAAAATATCTCTAATTTCAGGGACTCTGGTAAACTCTTCTGGCCTATGAGGACACGAAGCTCTCAAGTGTGCACAGACATATAGGCAGGCAAGATATTTGTACATAAAAATTAAATTTAAAAAGACATCAGTTTAATGTAACAAGAACCTAATCTTTGTTAAATTATAAATTATTTTCTGATTCAACACTGCAGACATTCTTCTGTAGTTACTATCCTTTTAAAAAGGGAATGGGCGGGCACAGCGACCGTATTAGCCTGAAGAACATTTGACATGGTAGTCTTGGGCACCGGGCAGGGACGAATTCTAAATAGAGGCTTCTTATGTAAGACTAGTGAGATCCCTGAGGTGCTTTGCTCTTCCCTGTTAATGAGGGTAAATGTAGGGATTGTTGAGAGTACTAAATGAGATAATTCATAATTTTACGGCAAACCAGGCTTGGAATAGAAAGCCCTTAATAGATACTGCAAAAAAAAAATAGAACGTATACCAACAATAAAACAAAATCTAACATTAACTATATATACATGGATTCTCTTAAACAGAACTCTGTTGAGAAATAATGAGAGTTGGATAAGGAACCGGACTGATTTGGGGGAAAAACTACATTTCCCAGTAGGCTGTGACCAGGGGCTGTTTTCTCTTATTTCCGGGTATGTCATGTGACTTTCAGACTGCGCTATGGCGGAAGCAGAGGAGCAGGTAAACGCTGGCCGAGCTAGTTCGGGGCAGCAGGGACTTGGAGACACGAGTGAGGGGTTTTGGGGCGCAGAGGGCCAGAGACGAGGCGGGCGTGGCCGAGTTAGTTGGGGCGGCCCCTCCTCTCGGATGTAGAACCATGCACACCCCGCCATCCGAGCCGGCCTAGCTTCGGTTCAGCCCTTATGCTTTAAATTACGTGGAATTCTTTTGAAGAAGGCAAGTCGTGTGGGCTGTGCAGTGCTTAGGGGATTATCCCTGTTGCTGGCGATACTTAGATGGCAACGTACATCCTGCAGCTCGGAAGGTAGCACTGAGGTGTTGAGTAGAAATTACTGCCGTATTTTCATACAGCCTCTCTGATAGCCGTACATTAGGGCAAAGAAAAAAACTGAATGAAACTGACAGAATCGAAGACTTTAAGGCCAGACCTTGGAAGAGACCCTTTAAGTTTCCGTTTCTAGTGTCACTTCAGTTTGACATAAATAATATTTTGCCCATTTACATTAAATAGCCCGTCTACCATTTTCTGTGATGCTCCTTAGGAAGTGATGACGACGAACTGCTTACTGCTGTAAGAGACACTGACTTGTAGTAGACTTTTTACCATTCACATCGTACTTATTTTATGTATGCCAAAAGTCAAGGACTTTGACTAGGAAGAATCTGCGTTTGGGATTGTGTTAGCAAGAGCCTCTTACCCATCATTTTTGCAAACTGTCTCTTGCACTGCAGCTCAAAGGGAAACAGGACTTGCCTTCACAGCAGGCCTTACTCAGTTTGACTACTGCGAGAGGGCTTTTCACATAGGGCATTTCTGTTTCTGTTGAAACATAGTTGTGGTTTGTAGAAAAGCAAAAGTCCAAGTTCATTAAGTTCCTAGATTATATCCAGTGCGATCGAACGGAGTACTCCTTATTTCCCCACTCATGCAGAAGAGGAGTTTGACAAAGCTGTCTGATGTTAGAAATTAGAAAATCAGCTAGAAGCCGGGCGGTGGTGGCGCACGCCTTTAATCCCAGCACTTGGGAGGCAGAGGCAGGCGGATCTCTGTGAGTTCGAAACCAGCCTGGTCTACAAGAGCTAGTTCCAGGACAGGCTCCAAAACCACAGAGAAACCCTGTCTCGAAAAACAAAACAAAACAAAACAAACAAAAAAAAAAACAAAAAAAAAGAAAGAAAATCAGCTAGATAATAAGATGTTTCCCATTTCTGCAGTGCTTCCAAGCTTAAAATGCCCCTTTCCCAGGACAGTTGATCCTTCCAAAAGAATTCTGTGAGGTAAATGTTTATTCTGGTGTAGAAGGCATATAATGCTTCCATGTCTCAAACCTTCTTATCCCAAACTGCGGTAAAAACAGTGTGGGATTACTCAACAGGGCTATGCGAGCCACCCCCTTCCCACTGCTCTCTGACTTCATTTCCGACCACGATCCTCCCCTTCTGCCCTGGTCTCAGAGTGCCTGTCCTGTAGTTCGGCACACAAGCCAGGTGTGTTGCCACCCAGAGCCTTGGCTCACTGGCTCTTTTGAGGACTTCTGCTGTCTACAGCACTTTCTCCTTTATTTTCCTCATGCGTCTGTGGAATTTTGCTTTCCAATTGAGCATTCCTGCTCATTCTTGGAGACCACCTTCTGATATTATTCTGTGTAATACTCATGTCTTAAAATTTTCATTTTTCTTGTGTATTTTCACTTTTGCATGCCACATGGTAAGAATATATTCACTACTGATGACCAATATTGGGATATTGCTTTGATACTTAGTATATTAAATTATTGGATTTTACAGATAAATGGATTGAAATTTATTTTGAATTTTCTTATGCTTATATCTATAATATTTTAGTTTCATGTCTCCAAAGGTCACATTTTTTCACTAGATCACTCTGCTTTTTAAAGTATGCCAAAGAACTTAAATCTAAATATAATATATTCACACATACACACAAGCACATGATCTTTGTGAAGTAAAATTAGCCCTTATCATCTTGATGCTTGATGGTTTTCCTTGTAACCCTTATTCCTCCTGTGGTGTTAAACAGCCAATGTACTATTGGAAAGAGCATTTCTTCCCAACTGTATCAATGTAGCTTTAAGAAAGACCAGTAGTCTATTGTCTTTTAATGATTTCATAAAAAATTACGATTCCTTAAAAGAAAAATAATTGTACTCATATTATTAGTCCTTTGAAGATTAAACAAGAGCAGATTTTTCTTATTTTCTGGATTGGTACATTTTGCACTTACAGTAAGAAGCCACTATAATCTGATAGTAGGCCTTTGTAAACAGGTTTTTGGTGGCAAAGTACACAAACATCAAGTAAGTAAATGTGCTCATATTTTGCCACCATGAATATTTTTGGAAATGATGGCATCCCTTTTTCTTCCTCCTGAGTACTTTAGGAGTTGGCATGTATGTTAAGCGAACAACTACAATACAAATCACAGAGGGAGGCAAAGCGTATTCTTGGTTCCTGTCCTGCAAATGCAAGCATCCTTCCTAGGTGAATAGCACAAGAGTAAGCCCACTGACTTATCTTACCTGTGTGCGGTGTTGTTTGATGATTGTCTCCCCTTTAATTTTATGACGAGCCAAAAGGGTGACGTCTGTACTGAGTTTACATACTATAAGAAAACCCACAGTTTAAAGCTAAAATCACTGCTTAAGTATGGGTAAACAGATGTCTTTAAGTCATGATGGAAGCCTTGATTTTGCTGAATATAGAAAAAAAGTACTTTGTAAAAAGTAACATTTGTGTTTTATAGTTCATAGAAGCTAATAGCCACAGTTCTGCCTGGAATTCTTGTAACCAGCACTTTTGCTTAGTTCTGGAACGATTTATAGGTGGCTTTCATAGTCACAGATGCCCAACAGTGTTTGTCTCGACCTCTCATGAATAACACTCTGCTTGAAGTCTGGTGGGTGTATTTGTCTCCTGCAGATTGCTGAGTCATCAGAACGAGGGCTATAGCTTCCTCATGTCTGTATCTCCCCAAGAGCTAGTGGTTTCCAAACCCTACGTGAGGAAATGAATCTAGTAGGAGGAGAACACTTATAATTGTCATGTTGTAAATTCTGTTCAGTAGAGTGTGTGGGAAACCATTGTGTCATATTTAACATGTTGGGAGGTTACTAATTCAGGTGTAATATGGACTACATTCTCCACATTTCTTCCTCTTAACCTTCCCTTACTTTCATCCTCCCCACTCAGCCACAAAATTAGCCATCAGTTTTTTGGCTGTTGGAGAGTTTTGATTTTGATTTTTACTACTGCGTCTTAGAAATTAGGGGAGTTCCATCTTCATTTCGGTTATTAGATGGTGCAGTCTCTGCGTATGAATATCTCTGTGCATAAAAAATAAAAGTCAGGTTTGTATATACTTCAGTGCCTCCATTTCCTTGCCCGTTAATTTATTCTTTAAGACTTGTTAGGAAATAAATTTATTAAAATGGTGAGGGTGAAATAGTTAACTTATAAATAACACAAAGATTACTTGTCCGTATCAGGCTTGGCCAGGGCAACCAAGTTTGGGCTATTCAGGATAGTGTATATTTGGATATAGCTAGTGCTTTTCACATTTATATCTTAGGGTGGTACCCGGAACTTAGGGTTCAAGATAGTGAAGGTCATGTTGAAGCAGTAGGACATCTTCCCCACTGAGTCCCAGAGACAATACTTGAAGCTGGAAAACTATAAGGATCTTTGTAGAGCTGAGCCAGGGCTAGGAGGAGGGAATACCCTAAGGAAAATCTCATTGGGGATCGCTACCTCAAGGCAGGTGTCCATGACCTAAGTGAGGCTGGAAGTGATGTTGAGGGGTACAGCATCCTCCATCCTGGCGTTGCTGCGCAGCTCCAACTGAAATTAGGCAGAAATACTGATACTGTGGAGGTGTAATGTGATTTTTATGAAGTTGGAAATTCAGATTTTTCTGAAAACCTCATCTAGGTATAACAACACATTTGTAGGTCACACCTAAATCCTGCCTGTCATTTTGCTGTTTCTAGCCTGGAGACACCAGCATGTGGTTCTCAGTTGTAGCTTACTTAGTGTGGATAGAGGGGCTTAGATTTGTGGAGGGGCTAGAGAGAATAGAAGTCTCCTGGTGTCAGAAATCACTCTTTATCTGCCTTGCTGGGGAGTCACGGCTGGTCTAGTCAGCCTGGGAGACCAACCAGTGCTGGTTCTTTGAGGATGGCAGTTATCAGTCTGATCTGTGCTTTGGGCAGCTGATGAGTATCTCAGGTCCAACACAGTCTTAGGGGAAGTTCTTCAGATAGATGATTGGTGTTCGAGTGATTGCTGTGGGAAAGAAAGGTAAATTACTGAATTAATTGTTAAGCTCGCTGCCTAGAATTTGAGTGACTGAACATTTATTTATATCAATGCATATCTTCTAGTCTAACACTTACTCCAGCCAAAACAGCATTGAGTTTTTAGTTGGAAATGAAGTTCATCAATTCAGTAATTTTTAAGTATGTGATTCAGTTAGATTAAGTATATTTAAGTTGCTGTGCGGCCATCACCGCCATACCTCGTGCTGGAATTTTTTTTACACACTGAGACCTTACCTACTAATAACTCCCTATCTCCACATTGCTCTGATAGTCTCTATTTTACTTCATTATATACATAAAATCATATATTACTTGTGGATTGTTTGGTGAGTTTGACTTACATTACATAGGAACAACACCGTTTAGCTTATGTTTTCTTGATGCAAATGTGAGATTTCTTGAGGCTAAAATGTTGAAAACCATGCAGTCTTCAATGGCAACCTTGCTCGTGGTTTAGTCTTGTTTCTTGAGTTTGCATTCTTATGCCTTTCTGTTTCTTGTTTGTCTGTAGAACTATTAAGTAGTAGGATTGGCCAAAGAAACTGTTAAGCACCCATACTGGGCTCATACCCGAGGTCTGTCATGCATTGCTGTCATAACGTGGATGGGAGTGTAGATGTGTTGAGGCCAGACCTCTGGTCAGGTAGCCTGTGCTAATGCTGACGGTGGGTCTTACAGGGCCCTGAAATACGTTCTCAGCTGGTGCAAAACTCTCTTGCATTATTTCTGGTGTGGAACAAGTATGACATTGGATTGTGAGGTCTGGACTACTTCTATTGATGATTTATGTTGTTTTCATGAAGCACGTGAGCCTCCCCCATTTACCAAATATGTATACTTGAATGGATGCCACATTAAAAAATATTCTGATTTTTAATGTAATTTTCTGGAAGAGTAACCATGTATGTTTTCAGCACTCTGAATGTGGGAAATCGGAATCTAGACACAGCAATGACAACATTGCTTTGCTAGTGCTATTTAATATTCAGGGAACTCAGATCAGAGATATTTTGGAAAACATTAAATTCAAACTCTGTACTTCATTATTCTGTCCTAAGGGGTTAGACATATTCAAATGCTGTATTATAGACATACAGATGGTAAAACATTTAGTATTATGAGTGGAGATAGATGGTCAGTAACAAAGTCAGACTAGTAAGTATAAAAATGTATAAAAACCAGTTTCTGCTGTGTGTCTGAGGTAAACAGTATGATGTTATGAGATGTGTGTGTGTATGAGGATCCTAATTCCTTCCCAGAATTGCCCATTTTCCCACAACTAATCTGCTCTTTGGAAAAAAATCCTTACAATTCATTGAATATATCCATAGCAGCTGTGGCTTTTATTTTGTACCTGAGCTCTTTAGAATACTTATTCCTGCATATCTGCTGCTTTGTGTGCGGTGACCTGTATTAAGCCATTTCCACACACCCCTGAGGTTAATAGCTCCTGCTTTATTATGTTTGCCCATTTGACATTTACCCCTTTCTGTCGCACAGATAAGAAGATAATGCAACAACAGCCCCTTCACAGCTCTCCTCATCCCTGTCCTTCTGGGAAAAGCTATTCTACAGTTATCTGAAGTGATCGAGTGGCTTTTATTAGCATTTCCGCAATTAGAGAGTCTGAGCACCTTTGAATGAACCAGTTGTCCATTTTGAATGTCTTTTTTTGGAGAAGTGTTTATTTAGGACCTGGTTTTAATTAGGGTCTATGTTTTCTTGCTGTTGAGTTGTGTGGATTCTCTGCAGGTGTGAGAGGTTAGCCCTTTGTGAAATATATGGCTGACAATTTTTTTTTCTGCAGCCCATACGCTGTCTTTATGTATTATTTTCTTTGCTATGCAGAAGGGTTTTTAGTTTGATGCATTGGCATTTATTTATTTCTGCATCTGTAGCCTTCGATTTTTGTGAGATAGCCAAGAAACCAATGCCAAGGCTAATGTCAGGTAAGGCTTCTGTATGGAGCTTCAGGATATTATAGCCTACCTTTGGGCGTTTTGTCCATTTAGAGTTGCTTTCATTCTTATAAATGTAGAGACCTAGTTCTTTCAGCATCGTTATAAACGATGAGCCCTTTCCCATTGTGTTTTCTTAGAACGCTTGTGGGAAATTAGCTAGTGCTGCTTACTTGGACTATTTCTGGCCTCTGTGTTCTGTTGGAATAGTGACTTAATTTTAAAAGTGGAATGTTTAGAAGAGATAGAATAAGATGCAAAGAGGACTAAAACCAAGAACTGGATGGTGAGTGCAGAGGAGAAATGGTTTAGAAGGGTCGGTGGGATGCTTCCTGTTAACTGTGTAGACAACTGTCAAATGGTAGGAAAGCTGGATTCTCTTTTCTTTTTTCTTTTCTTTTTGGTGTGTGTGTGTGCGTGGCATGCAGATGTAAGACCATCCAGTTGTTTTGGAGGTTTGCAGTTTTAAACTATTGAGAGTTCTGAGATTCTGAGTCCCATTAAGTCAAACGAACTGCATGTTAAGACTGAAACTTCCTCTAGAAGTTACCTGTCTCCTCCCAAGCTTTTATTGTTTTTTTTGACATATAAAATAAAGCTTCTTTTCAGCACTAGATTTACATTTATCTTGCTATCCGTGTTGAATTGAATAAAATGTGCATCTGGCTTTCTTTAAAATGTTCTTTTTTTTCCTTAAAAATACGTTATATCTGGGATGTTATCACACTTTTTTGGTTCGCTTTGTTTGTTTGCCTTATGGATTCTAAAATGCTTACATTTGATGTCAGCATATTAGCTGTAACTTTTTATTGCTATTGATATCTATAAGTACGTTAAGTAAATCTTCATTTTGCTGACCTCTTTGAGGATGCGTGGCATCAGCAGATTCTCTCTTTCGGTGGACAGGTGAGAGATTAGCGGGATCAAGTCCATTTTTTCCCTTTTTGCTTTGTTTCCTCCCGAGCAGCAAGATTCATTGTGCAGCAAGAAGGGAGCTGTGCTAAGTGGAGGAATTTGTCTTAGAGGTACTGGTTTATTAAAGGGCTTATACCATGTGTGATGAGTACCTCTGTGGGAAGATTCTTTTTACGAGAACTGTTCTAGGCTTGGGGATATAGTTTAGCTGTAGAGTGCTTGCCTAGCCTACCCAGAGCCTTGAGTTCTGTCCCCAGCAGAAAAAAACAAGCACGGCCTCACGCGTCTGTAATCCCATTCTGTTGGCTGTAGAAAAAGGAGGATGGGAAGTTCAAGGTCATCATCAGCTTCGAGGTCAGCCAGACTGCACAAATGAGTCTCAGTAAACAACCCGGCTCCCCCCCCCCCATGAATTTCCTTCCTAAAACTTTTAGCAAGACAGTAATTTTGACTCATCAATGAAAGAGATTTCAGTCTTAACAACTGGCTCATTTGATGTGGTTTCTTGTTCCCCTGTGTTATCAGCGAGGTTTTGCCAGGTGGATTTCCAGTATCTGAGTGTTTAGCTTTCACGCATCAAGTTCCTAGGGCAATTTGTTCAGAGTTTGAAAGAGGAAAACAGAAGCTTGGAGCCCCATAATCCTACCCCCTCCTCTGCCTGTCCCAGGCCAGCCATGGTGTGAAGTTAGGGAAGGGGTGAGAGCTGAGCACGTGGCATCCACTAAAATGTCATTGCAAACTACTTTTCCAGCAAAGCAGGTGGGTGCGGTGATTCTTGTCCACTGCAAATTGTTTTCATTCTTCTGACCCCTCTCTCCTCTGTGCTTGCAGGAAACTGGGTCTCTTGAGGAGTCTACAGATGAATCAGAGGTAAGATGGAGCCTGCACGTTTGCCACTTACCTCGGTGTTATCCTGAGCTTGTGGGCAATGAAGTCTGGCATTCCCAGGAGCTGAAAGATGAGCACTATAAAGCAGATACTTAAGAAATAGCATGCTGGTTGTCTTTAAAACATTAAATGAATTAGCTTAAACATATATAGGGGACCAAACATTTCTCTTCGTCTCCTGAGGCAAAGGTGATAACCACTCCACCATGGCTCTCGGTCTTTTCACCCACAGCTGTGCATGCTGGAGGACTGACATAGTCTTAGGAACTGGTGCCCATCTGCTAAAGCCTGCTGGTCTTCACAGTTTTTGCTGTGGTTTTACAATGTGCATTTTTTCTCCTGTGGTTTTGAAGATTCTGCCCAGCTCCTTCACGTTTGCTAGACAAGTGCCATACTGCTGAGCTACACCCTCATTCCTGATATTTATTCATTTTCTTTTTCCATGAACATGAATGACCATATTATACCTATCTCTGTTTCCTGAATCAATGAAATTGTAGCTCATTTCTTTAAAAGGGAAACTACCTGGGAGTTTTGTTAAAGATATTTACACAAGGGAAATAAAATTGTTCTTTTAATACTGTCACTGCTTTGAGAAACGCCTTTTCAAAGCTCTGTCAAGTTTTGAAAGAAATAGGCCGAGCATAATGCAAATTAATTAGAATCTAAATTGTGTGGATGGACTAATGGGTAATATGCTTTCTTTGAATATTTCATTTCGGGAAGGCAAATGAAAATGTATCTTACTAATCTGCAAGAAATTTCTACCAGTGTGACTGTATTTGATAGTCTCTTCATCTTTTGTTGATATATATTGCATACTTGACATGGATTTTGCTTTTCCTGTGAAATGGTGGGTTTATACATACTTCTCCAGACACACCATATAGATGATGACAGTTTCTGGTCATAGCTCTAAACATTTCACTATAGGATTCTTAGTACCATGAAACTCCAGGTGCCTCTGTTAACGTCTGGTAGTGTATGGGAGAACAGTTCCCATTACCACTGTTACGTTTGGAAACCTTAGGCGAGAACCCCGACTTCCCGAATCGCTGGTGCATAAGGCAGTGCTTGAGCCCTGTCCTAGAACTTCTCTCAGACATGAAGGGGACATCACTGGCCACTCAGATCAAATTTTTCCAGATCTCCTCTAGGTACTAATGGAGTGCCAGCGAGCGTGAGCAAAGCATAGAGCCAGCCTCCAGGATAACCCGAGAGCACGGGGGAATGTGGCAGGGGAGAGAAATACCTAGGAAGCCAGAAGATCCGCCAGGGCTGGGAGTTTTTTGGCAAGGGATCTAGTAGAAACCAAGGAATCTCAAGGATGGCACTTTTTTTTTTTTTTATTGAGAAAAAAAAAATTTCTGCCTCCTCCCAGCCTCCCACTCCTCCCCCCTCCCCCCACTCCTCTCCCCATCTCTCCACTCCTCTGCCCCTCCCCCCACTCCTCTCCCCCTCCCTCTCAAGTCTGAAGAGCAGTCAAGGTTCCCTGCCCTCCCCCCTCCATCCTGGTCTAGGAAGGTGAACATCCAAACTGGCTAGGCTCCCACAAAGCCAGAACAGGATGGCACTTTTGAAAGACAGGGACCAGAGGTGGCGGTGCTGGACGGTGCTGTTTCTGAGCAAGAAGGGGGAAGCATTCTTTATAAATGTGGAGCTGAAGGGAAGCTTCAAAGTAGAAATTCAAAGTACTGAATACTCAGGATCTGATCAGGGGACTTGACTTCCTCCTTCTGTGACAAAGGTGCCGCATGGTGAAAGAAAATACTTTGCAGTCCATCCACATAACTCAGCATCCTAGAAACACCATCCCCCTTGCCCCCAGGTCCTCCAGCTCCTCAGGAGCTTCTGCTGTTGCTGTCCCAGGAAAGTCAGGCTGTTTAAACATAAACTGGAGGCAGCATGCATCCAGAGCTCCTATAGATTGAAAGCAGAAAGTGAGACTCCAGATTACTTGGCAACAGAACCCTGTAACATGACTCTGTCATAGTTGGACAGGTCAGTGGCGTTATGATCGATCAACTGTCCTAAACTGGAAATGCAAAATTCAGAAATAGAGATGGAGGGCCTGGGTGTGTGGTGGGGGGCCGCGAGTAGGGAATGAGAGCCGGCCGAAGTAATCAAAACCCGAGGGATCGCACAGAACCTGTGAGTGAGAGAAATGGCTTCCAACTCCAGACTCTTGTCATCGTCTTGCCTTCCAGCTCTGTGCTTTCTGGGATGTTGCTTAGAAAACGATTCAGCTCTTGGGTTTGTAGCTTGGCTGTCCCTCATACTTTCTGTGACCTGGGAGTCAAGTTCTGTAATGTTCTTTCTCTCAGTTCCTCATGTGACAAATGGGTCTATAGTGTATTTGCTTCATATGTTTGCTGTCAGGGTTAGAAAACGTCGATGTTTATCACCCAGCTTCTGTTGTGTGAACTTCCCGTCGTCATTAGTGACTCTCAGCTTGTGTTACATCTTCACTTGCCAACTTGTGCTTCAGCCGAGAGGTGGAGGCCTCTCCACTAGTTCTTTAGGAAGAGGGGTTTATCTTCCAGTTACTGGGTGAGGTAAGTTTGTGGACCAGCAAAGTACTCATATGTTGATGGGCAAGCTCAGGTTTCAGGCCACAGGCCAGCTTGGCAGAAATTTTCATGGGTTTCTTTCTTTCCTTTTCTTTTTTATTTTTAGGGAGGGAGGAAACTTCAGTGAGTACTGAAAATTCTCACCCGTGTTTAATTTCCAACTGGTTAATATACCCCTGACCCCCAAACATAAGAGTAAAACAAAAGACTGCATTAACATGCAAATTGAAAATCACAGGCTACATGCCTCCGCTCCCATGCCCTAGACCAAACACTCTATAGGCAAACCACTCTCTGAGTGGAATCCCAAGTAATTTCCATAAAGGGAACTGAAACTTAGTTGGATCCTTAGACTTTTGTTTTAGGTAGGAACCAACTACTTCCCTATTTCTGGAGCGCAAGGTTTGGCAACTAGCCGCACCTGTTGATAGTCTTGAGCGAGCAGAACTCTGATTTACACACAGGTGGGACCTCTGTTTGGGTTAAAAGCACAATGACCTTGAATGAACTAATAGCAGTCTCAAACTCTCTGACCTTTGGCCTCTTTGGGCCTCCACAATTCCTCCCTTTTTATTAATTTTAATAATGCCTGTGCTTCTGCAACAGGACAGATGATCACATCTGTCTTGGGATGAACACTTTTCCATTTCCCAGTCTTACCTGTCTTTGAAACATGCATTCTCATGGACTCTTACCCATCATGGGTTTCTTTACTCAGTTTGAATCGCTGTCTATTCCAGGAATAGTATTTTAAGACATCACCAAGTAGGCTGAAGAACCTTTCTTCATCCTGTTCTCCTTTCCCTCTAAATCTTATTACTATCACATTTTTTTTTTAACCCTTGAGCTTTGGAAGTCAGGCATTTGCTAAATTTACATATTTTCATTTCTGTGTTCAAGCGTTCAAACTTTCATTTTTAAGTAGAGTTTTCAACAATGTGTTGTAACAAGTTGCCTGATACTTCTATCATTTCCTGAAATTCCACAGTAAATGGATTCTTAAGTTACGGAGAAGACTTGTTAACAAGTTTATCTCAAGGTCTTATTTTCTTGACCTTTTTTGAGAATTTCATCTAGTCACACCTGTTGATAGTCTTGAGAGAGCAGAACTCTGATTTACATATAGATATATTTACATATCTATATCACTTCCCCAAGGTCTTCCTCCTCCAACTCTTCCTGTGTCCCCTTTAACTCCTTAAGTTCGTGACCTCTTCTTTCATTACTGTTGTTACATATATGATTGTTATGTGTATGTAGAAATATATCCTACTGAGTCCATTCTTTTAGCACTGCTCTATGTATATGTGTTTAAGGCTGATCACTTAGAATTAGACAGTGTACCAGAGAGCAAGATAGTTCCAAGCGTGTGATAGTGTCACTTACAACTCTGGTCCTAACCAACAGCCATCCAGTTCTGCTTAAGTCCTGTTTAGTAGGGTGGAATTCATGCCTGGTACAGTAAACCAAACCAACTACTCATGTCTTGTGAAGTAAGTCATAGACACTAGATGAGAACATACTATGTCCACTTTCAACTAGTATAATTACTAACTTCACTGTATAGGCCTGTCCTTATATCCTTATACACAAATAAGTGTAGTTCTCAGCCTTCAGCAAGCTCTTGCTTTAATAAATATCTGAGAAAGGAACACTGTCTTCTATTGTGTGTGATTTTTATTAATTTTGAAAAGTGAAACCAAACGAAAAGAGTTTGACAAGGCAGGGTTGATATAATTGGGAGTTACACTAGGTGACTAAGGACCAGAAATGAAATTTTATGAATTAAAATATTTGTTAAAAACCAACACATTTCTTGAAAAACCAAAAACCAAACCAAACCAAAACAAAAACCTTCAACATATTAGTTTTTTTTTTCTTTTTTTTTTTTATTGCGAAAAGGAAAAAAAAGTATCCGCCTCCTCCCAGCCTCCCAATTTCCCTCCCCCTCCTCCCACCCTTCTTCCCCCTCCCTCAAACTCCTCCCCCTCCCTCTCCAATCCATAGAGCAGTCAGGGTTCCCTGTCCTGTGGAAAGTCCAAGGTCCGCCCCCTTCCGTCCATGTCCAGGAAGGTGAACAACCAAACTGGCTAGGCTCCCACAAAGCCAGAACGTGAAGTAGGGTCAAAACCCGGTGCCATTGTCCTTGGCTTCTCATCAGCCCTCATTGTTCGCCACGTTGAGAGAGTCCGGTTTTATCCCATGCTTTTTCAGTCACAGTCCAGCTGGCCTTGGTGAGCTCCCAATAGATCAGCCCCATTGTCTCAGTGAGTGGGTGCGCCCCTCGTGGTCCTGACTTCCTTGCTCATGTTCTCCCTCCTTCTGCTCCTCCTTGGGACCTTGGGAGCTCAGTCCAGTGCTCCAGTGTGGGTCTCTGTCTCTATCTCCATCCATCACCAGACGAAGGTTCTA